TTGGTTAGATTTTGGTTCTTAAGAAAATGAGAGGTACTAATTTATAACTTTGTATATTAAAATGAAATAATAAAAGTGTTTTATGCTTTAAGTTGGTAATATTTATATTTCTACCTATACGCAATTATTTTTTATGACATGAAAGAGAACAGATTGGGACTAGTAGCAGAAAGCAACAGAAATATAGCCATATAAATGGATCAAAAAGTTTTGCAAGAAAGCAAAAAGAAATAGTAAGTTTATGATTTTAAACTTATTCAAATGAATGAACTTTTTGTGCCGTTAAAAGGTAGAAATGCAAATTAACAGTTATTGTTCTGTTTTAATATTTTTGATAGTTTCAATACATGATGTTAAACTTATCTAAAGTATTGAACTTAGTCGTCACGGTTGATATGTATAAAAAAGTTATTGTTTACGTCTATTTAGGACTTTTTGTGCCATTAATAGGTAAAAATACAAAATTGTTGTTATTATTCTATTTTAACAGTTTGGATAGCTTCAATACATGATATTAAACTTGTTTGAATGATTAAACTTGATTTCTATGGTTGATATGTGTGAAAAAAGTTATCGTTTACATCTATTTAGGACTATTTTTGCCTCTTAAAGGTAAAAATACAAATTAAATTTTTGGATGGCTTTTAACAGTTTGGATGGCTTCAATACATGGTATTAAACTTGTCCAAATGATTGAATTTGGTTTCCATGATCTATATATCTGAAAGGCCAAAATGCTTTTATTGTTTACGTCTGTTTAAGACTATTGTGTTGTTAAAGGGCCAAAATATAATTTTACGATTATATTTCTATTTTAACAATTTATATAGATTAAATACATGATATTAAACTTATTCAAAATTTTGAACTTGATTGACAGACTTGACATGTATAAATAAGTTGCGGTTGATATGTATTTAATAATAACATATGTTTTTGTATAAGAGATTGAGATGGGTGGTAAAATTGAATGTGTGAAACTTTTTTGCTTAACACATACAAAAAAAGACGAATCTTACCAAAATATCGAAATACAAGAAATTGTGATAATTTGTAACATCTATTTTAATAGAAAGTAAATATTTACTCTTTTTAACATATTATGAATTAATCATTAAACTTAATAGTTTATATGATTAATTTATAGGAGAAAGCAAAAGAGAAAATGGTTGTTAAGATTGAAATAGCATATGATGGTTCTGTTAACATGCAAGAAATGAAAAATCAAATTTTCACAAAAGTTGTTGCAAAAGAAAGGCATGAACGGGTCCGAGGCCTTGGATTGGGTCCAACACCATTTACCTACTATAGACGTAACTCTTAAAAATTTACATTCTTAGCAAGTTGGTTTTCGCAAGACATTTTCATATTGAGAGAGGAGTTGCAAACTATGCAAAAATGTTTCTAGCAAATTGAAGCAGAAATAGAACAGGAGCGTATCAAAATTGAAGAAGAATGTGCTAGAATGGACTAAGAGTATGCAAAATTTTAGCAGTTGCATGATCGATTTGATCATCTTATGAATTTTGTGTAACAACAATTTTCAAGAACTAATCTTGTGGTCCACCAACCCAGGTATTATATTTAGTAAATATTTATATATTTAATATTAAAAAAGCTTATTATTAAGTGTTAAAACTTGTATGATATTATTTAGTATGTTCTTGAGCACGCTAGTGACCAAGGTGAAAAAATTCCTTCATCAAATGACAGTCTTCCAAATCTATGTAATCATCAATTTCATACATTTTTAATTTTTTAGTTAATGTATTAAAAAAATTTGAATGATATTATACTAATTTTAAACTTTGTGTTAATTACATGCATATTTGAATGTGAATTAAGTATTTATTAATTTCAGTTTCTGAATTTTAGTTCATTTTTATTTCTTTTAAGATTTCTTGTTAATGAAAATAATAAATATTAAAAGAAATTTTTTTTAAAAAAGTAAATTTCTTAATTTTTCAACGTTCACGTTCAAGAATGCCTTTAAATTCTAAATTTAGTGGCGTTTGTACTATAAAATGCTACTAAAAATAGTGGTGTTCTTATAAAAAAAATGCCGCTAAATTAGCGGCATTCCTATCATAAAAATGGTGCTTAATTAGTAGTATTTTTTGATACAAATGCCGCTAATTTAGTGCCATCTTATCATATAAACTTCATCATATTTGTGGCATTTTTCGGATACAAATGTTATTAAATTAGCAGCGTTTTTCATATACAAACGTCGCTAAAATAGTGATGTTTTATAAAAAACGTAGCTATATTTCCTGATGCGTGTATAGCTGACACTTTTAATAGTGTTTTTTGCAAATGCCATAAATCTTTTAGCGGTGTTTATAAACGCCGTTAAACATTAAAAAAAAAAATACCACTAAAGACCTAAACCCCTGTAATGTGGTGTCACTTCTTGGAGCTAAGAGCTTGCCTCTAAAGCATTCATGAAAAGATACAAGATACATGGATAATGAAATTGTGTCACATGGATAACGAAATTGTGTCAAGCATTGCGAAATGACTTTTGTTGAGGTGTGAAATTTTATGTGTGATTGGATACATGACTAATTACATAGAATTATTGGTTCAAAGACATAGTTCTACCATATAATTATGATTAACTCAATAACTTATCACTTAAGTGTTGGTTTTAAATTAGGTATATATGATACCTTCACTTATGTATAAAATTTTGAAAATATATGACCTACTCTATTTTGAAAATAGGTAGGAGAATGTTGGAAATATTTTTAAAATAGTGACAGATAAATTGGTTAAGTATACTTACTTTATCAATGATTAAGAAACTAGGAAAAACAAAGTTAAGAATTAAGTTTTGGCAAGGAGCAGTCGACTACCCAAACAAAGAAGTCAATTGCCCATGGCTTTAAAAGGGAAAGAAAACTTCTATTAAGAAATTGAACTTGGGCAGTTGAATGTGCGGCATAGTGCAGTCGACTACCTTGCCTAGTAAAAGTTTCCGTAATGAAATACTCTAAGGCAGTTGGATGCCTAAATAATGCATCTGACTGCCCTAGTACAAAAAGTTGCATTTTCCTAAACAGTCAAAAGAGATTTCTCTTGGAATGAGTTATAATCATTCAAAAGTAATCTTTCACTTATAAAAGATAAATAATTACATTTATAATTATTCAGAAAAATATGTTCTTAATTAAAGGAAGTATATGTTGATTGAAATAATACAAATTAAGGGACTTACCCTTTAGTTTCTATTCTCTATAAATAGAGATGGAAGAAAACATTTAAAGTTGGTTGAAAAGATGATGAAAAACACTTGATGTTATATCAGAATTCTTCTCCCTCTCACACTCAAAGTAGAAACAAATCTCTTAGACTTTGTTTACTGTAAAAACATAGCATAAGACAAAAGTATTTCCGTTCCTCCTCAAAAATGTTTAGTGGTTTGAACTTAATTAGGGTAAAGTGAGTACAAACATGACTTCATTATATATCGTAAGCTATGTAAACAACTCCTATTGCATTCCAAATATTGGTGAAGCAAACAAATATAAAGGAAAGTGCTTTCATATCATGCCTTAAAGCCATTTCCTTGGAATCTTTCATTTCTCCATTTTGGTGCAAATGATGATTAACCACTGGTGCAAAGGATCTTCATCAACAAATAGCCGACTTGAAACCAACAATTTTTAAACTTATTTTGCTCATTTAAATATTGGAACCGAGTTACCCAAACAAGTTTTAGCACTAACGAGCTAAGAAAAAAGTAAATTGGCAATAAAATTATGGCAACTAGGGCTAAGAAACCCAAAATGAGACCCTTGATGCATTATTGATGTCCAATATGACAAATTGGTCGTCATTCCTTTTAGACACTGATAAGTATGTGTTTCACTAATCCTCACCAAACCACCTCACACATATTTTGCCTTTATATAAACCACCAAGTCTCATTCTTTTCTGTTTCTTTTCACTATTTTAAAAGATGTTTCATTTAAACATCATCTTAACTAGCAAACATGTGTATTTGATAACTATTTACGATTTGGAAGTAAAGTCTCAAATAATATTAACATAACTATTAAAATTTTATTAGAAATTATGTATTTTTAATATATTTTGAAATTATTTGTTATCAAAATTATTAATATTAAAAAATAGTTATATTTTAATAATAACATTTAATATTAAAATATTATATTAATATTAAAAACTTAAAAACAAAACTATTTTTTAGTAGTTATATTAATTTTTTAAAATATTTAAAATAACATAATATTACTATTCTTAAAATATTATTTCCATCAATATAATAATATTAAAAAATAGTAATATTTATTTATAATATTAAAATATTTATATTTTATATTGAAAATATTGATTATTAAATTATAATAAAAATATTATTTATTTGTATTTGTTATTAAAATTGTAATATAAATACATTTGTCAATAAAAGATAAAAATAGTATTTTAAATTTAAAAAGATTTAGAAATAGTTAAAAATATTCGTATTACGAAAATAATTATATTATAATATTAAAAAATATTAATTATAAATATTATTTAATATATTAATATTTATTTTTAAAAATAATAATATAATATTATTTTTTATTGAAATAGTAAAAATATTTCTGTCTAATAATCTACAAAATAGAAATATTTAAAATTAAATTATCAAAAGACTTTTAATATTAATATTTTAGCATTTTAATTAAAGTTAATTAAAATATTTTTAACAAGAAAATAATATTCACGTCATTTCAAATTAAATATGAGTTTAAAAATTTATGTCGACTTCATTAGAAATACAAAAACATTTAAAATTAAAATACTAGAAGAGTTTTATTATTAATATTTTAAAATTTTAAGTAAAATTAAATTAAATATATTTTTATTAATACAATAATATTATTTTTTTAATAAATTAAATTTAAACTTAAAAAATCATATCCAATTCAAAATTCGACTAAAATAAAACTATACTCAGCAATTTAATAAATTATTGTTTATTTTTTTCAAAAGTTATCATTTTTTCGTTAACCAATAAATATTTTTAGTTGATCAATAAATTTTCTGCCGAACAAAATATGTATATGTGCGTGTGTGTGGATCGATTTTCAAGCACTCTCTCTCTCACTATGCTTTAGGAGGAAATGGGACCTCAGTGGCTGCTCAGGATAACCCCTCCTGTCTTCTCTATTACCTCTCTCAAATCCAACCCTTCCTCACCCAATTCCAACAACAATCCTCCTCCACCCCGCAAGGTAATGCCGAATGCTGCCTTCATTTTCAATAATTATTAATCCCATCGCAACTGATTTTATTTTCTATTTGGTGCAGATCATCTGTCAGTGGAACAAGGTAGGACGTATCCTTGCGAGAGACAACTTGGTCGATTGTGCTCCATTGATTCAAACCTTAGGTAGAAAAAGGATGTCTCACGTTGCTCATCAGCTTTTACTTGAGATGAATTCCCAAGGTTTGATACCCAACACTTGTACCCTTTCTGCTCTCATGCTCTGTTATGCAGATAATGGGCTTTTCCCCCAAGCTCTGGCAATATGGGAGGAAATGCTATATACTACATCTTTTATGCCTGCTATTCAAGTAGTTTCAAAATTCATGGATGCTTGTGGGAAGATGGGGCATTTTCACCTAGTAAACAAAATTCTGGATCAGGTAATTCTGCACAGGTTTAACTTGTTGCCCCAAGTGTACCCAGTGGCTATCTCTTGCTTCGGAAAGCATGGGCGGCTTGATTTAATGGAGAATACATTGAAGGAGATGGTTTCAAAGGGTTTGCCTATAGATTCTGCCACTGGAAATGCTTTTCTTAGACATTGTAGCATTTTGGGTTCCTTGACTGAGATGGAGAATGCTTATGCTCGCCTTAAAAGGTCTAGACATCTCATAGAGGAAGAAGGAATCAGAGCAATGTCATTAGCCTACATCAAGGAGGGAAAGTTCTACAAGTTAGGTGCATTTTTAAATGGTGTGGGTCTTGGGAGGACAAATTTAGGCAATCTCTTATGGAATCTCTTGCTATTATCCTATGCTGCCAATTTCAAAATGAAAACCATGCAAAGACTCTTTCTGAAAATGTTGGATTCTGGTTTCCTTCCCGATCTGACTACGTTCAATATAAGAGCTTTGGCCTTCTCAAGAATGTCTATGTTCTGGGATCTCCATCTCAGCCTTGAACACATGAAACATGAAGGCGTTGTTCCTGATTTGGTGACTTATGGTTGTGTTGTAGATGCATACTTGAATAGAAGACTTGGAAGAAATCTGGATTTTGTTTTGAACAATATGAATGCCGATGATTCTCCACTAGTGTTAACTGATCCACTTGTGTTTGAGGCTTTGGGTAAAGGGGACTTCCAATCAACTTCAGAGGCGTTTGTGGAGTTCAAGAGACAAAAGAAATGGACCTACAGGCAGCTAATTGCAGTTTATCTCAAAAGGCAATTCCGAAAGAACCAGGTCTTTTGGAATTACTAAATAGCAGTCTGCTATTTGTATACAGATATGGTTTCTCTGGTTGTTGGAATAGCATTTTGTTATTTTCCATTCTTAAAGCTTACCACCGTCGTATTAGAGGGGAACTCTTTGGCTTGAAGCCTTGAACCTAAGGTGTCTCTCCTAGTTCTCAACGTCCCATACCGGATGAGCCAAGCTAAGTGGTACTGTATACATCTTCCTGTGCTATTTGCTGCATGGTATGTCCTGAACACTGTTTTTTCTCCTAAGATGTCTTTATTAGAAGGATTCCAATTAAAAGATAAGTACCGTAAGCCTACTCCAGATAAAACCAAATGTGAACACCACAATAGTTTAGCTCATCCAGGCATGCCATAACTACCGAAATAACTTAGCTATTAGGAAACTTAAAAAAAATAACTACATGTTTATTCCTCTTTTTGATGCTCCCGCATAAGAGGTCTTTAGCTTATGTTTTTCAATCTTTGTTAGGGTTTAATTTTTAGAATATATATTATGACATTAAGGTGAGAAGTCGATCATAATCCCATTACTTCTATGTGATTATATATTTAGGTGACATCCAGGATAGTCTGGTCCTTTATGCCTGTTGTGTGAAAGAGATACCATTTTATGAAATTGCAATTTCTTTATAGATGAAAATGTCTAATTTGAAAATAACTGTGTTGTTAGTTATATGATCCCTTTTGTTAATCTTGCTTATTTTGTAACATGTATTCTATCTGTGGCAGATACAGTGGAGGCTGAAAAGTATGTTATACATGTTGGTAGCATGAACCACTTTGAAAATGAGCTGAACATTGTGAAAGTGATGGTAGGAAGAAATGGGCTAGCAATTAGGATAAGTATTTTTTTCTAAATGGCCATGGTGTTAAGAAAGAGAAATGTGGGGATATGCAATCAATTATAGGGAAAGCATGACTGGCATTTGGGATGAACAACAACATCATTTTGAGGTGGCTCACAACTTGCAAGAAGGGAAGAGCATGATCTTGTATCCTTCAGATATAGGGATAGTAAGATTATCGAAACCTTTATTTAGAGTTGCGTCAAATCATAAAGATATCCCTAATATGATTCTAAACTTGATCTTCAATCATTTTGAGCTTCTGTTCATTTTTCATTGTAAGTTCCAGGAGTGTCAGATATATATTGGTATTAAAGTCTTCACATCTTCGTTCAGTGGCTTTGTGTATATTGAAGCACAGCTTCCTATAAGATTCGTATAGAAGTTGTACAGTTACATTCTTAATAATGTTTGGTCTGGAGAAATAAATGAAGGGAAAATTGAAATAAATGGAATTCGGATGCTCAGAATTCTGAACTTCTATTTTGATGGCAACCTTCGGCTCCTTGTATTGAATTCTTGCTCTGTTTTGGCTAGTTCAACATGACAAGTCTTTCTAGCTGCAAAAAAAAAGTGTGCAAACAATAAGTGTCAAGGGGAAAAGGTTTAAAACTAAAAGAAGAAAGAGAAACAGGAAGAAAAGAAAAGTTCTTGTACTCACTTTCTTCCCCCAATTAAAGATGGTGTCTTTGAGCGGCTCCTTGAGCTATCATATCCACAATGCAGGAACTGAGGTTCACTAGTAAAATCCTAAGAAGCAAGTAGAAGAGGACAAATTATATATTTCTCAGACAGTAGAATTTGTTTGGGCTGACAATCAGAGACAGATTTATCATGGGGGCAAATGTGCTTTCTATTTAATTAATAAGTTTTATTGACGTTCAAAATCAACAGAAAGTTTTAAGTTCTTTGTTCTTCATCCTCTTTAACTAGGTTTTCATTTTGACAATGGTTTTCTTTTTTTAATTTTTTAAGTATGAAACTAAAGTAATTTTATTTATACATTCAAAACTAAATATCTCCTTCATTTATTTAGCTCTTACAATAAGATGGATATTTCCTTCGTAAAATAAAATAGTTGTAGCTTTCTTCCATTTATAGGTTTACCTGCATTGAGGAGGCGGAAACTTGGCTGTGATTTGGTGAGGGCCCTGCACTGCCACCAAGCGTTATAAAAGACGTGTTTTCTTCAGCGAGGGTTCTCAATTTATTAAGCTCAGGCAACACAACTTGTCCCAGATCTGGTCTGTCTTTTCGTCTCAGCTCTGAACACTTAAGGGCTAACTTGGCAAGGATCAAGGCCTCTTCCATTGGCCAGTCAAGCACAGCTGGGTCTAGTATCTCAGCAAAAGTTCCCTTCTCGATAGCATTCTCAACGTGATGAGCCAAACCCATTGGTGGCTTAGCAGTTATTGTTTGTAGAAGCAAGATCCCAAGTGAGTAGATATCAGATTTTATCCCTAGCATTCCAGTTTGCTGATATTCTGGATCTATGTAGCAGAATGTTCCAGCTGTTGATGTCATACGATACTGAGTTACAGAGTTGGCAACTGATGGAGGAACAAGCCTAGCCAAGCCAACGTCGCTAATCTTGCTGACATAGTTGCGATCTAGCAAAATATTGGCAGGTTTCAGATCACGGTGCACAAGTGGCTCTGGTTTGGTTTGGTGCAGGAAAAGAAGACCTGTCGCAATCTCTGCAGCAATTCGAAATCTTACTTGCCATGGAAGTACCGGAGTGTTATTGCGCCTAAAGAGGCGATCTTCTAAGCTTCCGTTAGCCATGTATTCATAGACTAGGCAGCCATACTCTGGGCAGGCTCCGAGGAGAAGAACCATATTTGGATGTCGTATGCAGCTTAACACTTCAACCTACATGAGTTACCAAAATATACATAGATTAAATTTCTGTAGGCATTTCAGAAGTAATTACTTGGTTAAATTTCTTATGCTTAATTATCAATCTGTAAGTTATAATTTATCATGTGATATGCATCAACAAGGTCTCCTGACCTGATTCATCAGACTCTTAACTAAATACAATAGAGTAATGAATATGCGGTTTAAAATTTTATTAGGTCTGTAAATTGGGCATACAGCAAGCATTGCATGTGTGAATCTTAAAAACTTGATTTTGTGCTTAGAATTGCATCCACACCTCTTGCTGGAACTGTGATTGTCCTTGGGCTGCGTCTGGACGAAGAACTTTTATTGCGACAGGTGTGTGGTCCAGTTTGCACTGGTATACTGGCCCATAACCTCCTTCTCCTATTTTGCGAGATGGCGAGAAAAGCTCTGTTGCTGTTTCAATCTCTTCAATCGTATATTTCCTGTACCTGAGACCATGTCCCAAACTATTTATTGCCATTTTCCTCTCATCAGCATCTTTGCTGGCTTTCATTTCTACGTTCATTCTCTTTTGTGCTTCTAGTTCAGCAATCCGTTGAGCTGCTTGGGCCGCCTCAATGGCAGCCTTACACTTTACCTTCTCCTTCTCTGCAAGTGACAGTGCAGCTTCCTCAGCTAGCCGTGCCTCTTCTATTTTTTGTTCTTCTTGCAATTTCCAGCTATGAAGTTCTTTTGCCTGCAATAAGAATATGCAGAAACTGGGCATAAGTGTTCTCTGTCTATTTTTCTTTTTGGTGGTTGCATGGGGCAGGTAGCAGAGGGTGTTTTCAAATTTCCAGGAATTTTATCATTTTCTTTATGCTGAACGTCTTGTAGCATCTGATCATTTCAAAACAATGAACAAAAATGGAACTAGTTGTAGTAGAAGTATACCTATATGATATCGCTGAATTCAAGCCTATTTGGTAGGACCGTAGCATTATTGTAACAGGATAGAAATACCATATTTAGTGGAACTTTCACCAAAGTTGAAAATTTTAATATAGTTATATACCACTTTCAAAAGTTTGTAGATTATGCTCAAAAGGAATTCAGCTTTTAGATATATAGTACCCTATGCTTTGCCGAGAGTGCTTCCTTGCAGGCGGCACTGTACATCTCCATTGTCTGCTTGAGCTCCTGTTTGAGTCTTCTCATCTCAGCTTCCACTTCGTCCTGTAGCATCTGAACAGTTAAGTACGATTCTCTACCTTGTATCTGCTCAAGTACATATATATGAAACCAAACTGCATAGCTAGCATTTCACTTGTCTGCTGTTCGCTTTTCAGCGTAACTACTATTATTTATTATGCTAATTTTCATGACAAAAAAATAATGCTTACCATATTCTGAGATGACCATGATGTCCTACCACTTTCCACCGAGCTTGATGAACATTCGAACTGTGAATTGAATTCCATGGACCTGTTTCCTGAGTATGATGACCCAAAGCTTATATCGTCATAATCTGAGCTGATTGAAAGCCGTGGAGTTCCAAAGTCCATATTGTCATACAGGGAAGGGAACATGCGATCGGTACTTGGCCTTCCACTGCTTACATATGATATGTCAGATTCTGGAATTGAGGGCTCATATTTGATAGGGTTTCGTCCTCTTGTGAATGGTGACCTGTTCCAGGGGATTGAAAATTTTTAGTTAGATGTTTATGAATGAGGGTTGATCATCTTATTATAACTTACTTGATTTCCACATCTTCATTTAGGTTGCGTGGTGGATATTGGGGCCTATCAGGTACAGCTACAGAAGCAAAATAAATCCTGTGAGTGATGGCTGAATAATAATGAAGGTGGAAACAAGTTAATGACAGGAGGAGACATGCAAAAACCTCTATATCTGGGGTTAAGCGTGGGAGAGTAAGGGGGTTCTGTTAGTTCAGGAATGTTACTGGGTAGGGGCTGCGGCTGAGCACGCGGGTGAAGTCTTGGTGGAGGGGGAGCAGAAGCAGATCGCACTGATGAGATCTTCCCTTTGCCAATCACATATACTGTGCAGTAATCGGGAGCCCCTTTTGAGACATTAGTTGTAACCTCCGGGGTCCTGAATCTCCTGTCAACATTTGAAGGCTCATTCAAAGTTACAACACATTAGATAGATGGAAGAGCAAAATGTTTCTGAATTAGATTTCAAATGCATGCATGAAATTAATCTTATAGTAGCAGCAGCCAGGAGTTTAATTTGGAGTTGGAAATTTGGGGTGTTAAACAGAGAAAAATTAGAAATAAGTAGGGTAGTATATATTTGCAGTTTGCAGAAAGTAGTATAATATGTAAATCATGATTTAAATCTACAAAGACAAAGTGTGGGTAACCTGACAAAGCCGCTTTTTGATGGTGCACCAAGCACTAAAGTCTCGATTGAAGAGGATGAGACATAATCAATTAAGGCCTTAGTGATGTCGGTATCCTCCAGTATGATTTCATTACATTTGATCTGTTGCAATAGCATGAATAATAATAATAATAATAATAACAAATACTATGAATTAATTTGGAGTTTAGAAGAAATTAAAGAAGAAAATCAAAAGAAAGAACATACGTCCTTCCGCGAGCAGAAGCAACGGAAAGGTAGAAACACCTCCTTGGCTTGGTTGTCGAGTTGTTGTTTATATGCTTTTGCAACATCGTCGTTGACATCAGAAATATTGACGTGGTTCCCATCTGCATGTATGCATGCGTGCATATATTATTAATAAATGATGGAGATTCGATAAAAATAGATCGATAAGCAAAACATACTTGGGGTAGGGATGGAAGAAGGCTTAGTTTTAACATGGACAAGAGCGATGGATTGACCCCTGGACATAAGATGATCAACAGCCCATTTCAAAGCGTATTGGCTTCCCTTGTCCTTGTCTATTGCCACTGCCACTGCCTCAGCCACATTCTCCTCTCTCCTTTCTCCATTTCTTCTCGCCATTTTTAATCAATTTCCGATCGCGCTCTCACTGTCTTTGAAACCCAAGTCCGTCGATTATAATTATTCTTCTCCTGGCCATCGCTGCCAACTAACCCAACCAAAATTTGCTACCTTAGTCAGTCATCTCAATCTCCAATAAACCTCCCTTAGTTATAGTGGCTAATTAAGAGTTATATTTGTTTTATGGAAACAATCTAAACTAACTGGTTTTCGTAAGCTAATTACATGCATAAAATTAAGGTGTTTGTTTTGCTTTCTTTTTGGTTGAAACATGAATTCCTGCATGCTCTGCTGTTAATACTTCAGACAGACATCCCATTCTTGCCGTCCTGTTCAAATCTCCGCTGGCGCCTACAATTTAGACCCGCATGGACTGCCCCCTTTACTTTCTTTGTTCTCAAATCTTTCATTTTGATACTTTTAAACTTATTTAAAAAGGTGCCGGTATGGTTTCTCTGCCTAAAAATAAAAGAGAATTACAAATCATAAAAATGAATTCACAATTATAATTCTTTATAATCATATCAAAATATATTTATTAAAAAGAAAATAAAACTTAAAAAAAAATATATATAATTTTTTGCTTGATTTTAAAATTTTAACTTAAAATCAGGGATAACATAATATTTTAGTTTCTTTCATATTATTTATAAAAATTTTATTTTTTCTAATAAATACATTTTAGAAAGATAGCAAAAAGTAATAATGCTGATCCGTTGTCTTGATTTTGTTTCATTTCTTGATTTTATTTTATTTTATTAAATTTTATTTCTCAATATTTACAAAGTTTAATAAAATTATAAAATTAAATTCTATTAAAAATTTAAAAATAAAGCCAAAAAATATTTTTAATAAAAAATAAAACATATCAAAATAGTTTTAATATATTTACAAAAATATCATTTTTTCCCTTTGATTTTAAAAATTTAACTTAAAATCAGAGGCAAAACTGGTACCTTATTTTTTATAATAATTATAACATTTTATTTTTTAATAAATACATTTTGTTATGACAGTAAAGAATAATTGTTTGGGATCTATTACCCTGATTCTATTTCTTTTTTATTTTATTTTATTAAATTTTATTTCATAGTATTTACAGATTTTATAAAAAATATAAAACTAAATCCTATTAAAATAAAAATAAAATTTATTTTTAACCAAAAATAAAGAATGAAATATACCCAAATAATTTTGACTCTCGAATAGTTGATATTTATTTTCTCAAAACATATATATATATATATATATATTTATAAAGCTTGTATATATTAAATGACTTTACATTTTAGCTATAATTTTATGTTTAAACAATAAGGGAATTATTCCCATGTGCTAAGTGTTCTTAAATGAATTATTTCTAATATAATATTTCCCAAAAAAAAAAAAAAGATTATTGTAATAAATAAGTTGTTATGTTAGGTTGGCAAAATTTTGGAGAGTTTCAAATTATAGTAATAATAATTTACAAAAGTACTTTCTAAAATTATTAATTATTATTTACTTTTGTTTAGTTAAAGTGTTAAAATATTATTTGGGATGTTTCATTTCTTCCTTTATTAAAAAAAATTCTAGCTTTATTCATAATAGGATTGAATATTATGTTCATTGATCAAAATTTATAAATATAAAGGAAATAAAATTTGATAAAATAAGAATAAAGAAAGGAAATAAAATCAAGATGGATCCAAAATTATTACTTTTGCTATCATAATAAATTTTATTTATTAGAAAGAAAATAAAATTTTTTAAATTATTAAGAAGGAAACTAAAATACCATTTTTTTTCCTAATTTTAAGTTGAATTTTGAAAATCAAGGGCAAAAATGATAGCTCTAATCAAGGACAAAAGTTTTATTTATTTTCTAATAAATATATTTTAGTATGATAGCAAAAAATGATAATTTTGGATTTATTACCTTAAGTTGTAATTCTCTTTTATTTTTATGCAAAATTTGATTATAGTATTGTATTGACATCATTTTAAAAGTTTTAGGACTATTATGAAACAATTTAAAGGTTAGAGATGAAAATGAAACCTAAATAAAAGGTTTGGGACTACAAGTGCATTTTACTCTTTTTTTTTTTTTCCTCCTTATTGAAGTTTACTTTGTTTATTTTGGTTAAACAATTCAGCCTGAAGCAAGCAGACCAAAAAAAGACAAAAAGAAAAACTTAAAATTGATTTGAATTGGTTTTCAATTAAGTTTTGTTGTCTTTTATTGAGTTTCACATATATATATGTGTGTGTGTGTGTGTGTGTGTGTGTGTGTGTGTGTGTGTGTGTGTGTGTTCGCGCACGCATTCAATTCATTCGGTTTGATATTCAAAGTTGAAAAATCAAAATTATTCAAGATCAGTGTAGTTATATTTTATTAATTTTCATAAAAATTTTACTTTTAAATGTAATTAAATAAACTAAAAATAACATAAAAATTTTAAAGAATTTGGTTTCCATAATTTGAAAAGTGTTGTAAAATCTTTTCATTATCAATATGATAAAATATATCTTTCTTTATATATGTAACTAAACAATCATTTATCCAAGAATCTTTAATTTGGTTATTCATAATCTTCATAGTAAAAAAAAGCTTTTCAACTGATGCAATAGAAAATTGATAATATCAAAACTAATTTCACAAGTAAGTATACTAATAGATACATAAAATGTTTCTTTATCTCAACAAGTTTTATGGAGAGGTTATTGATACTTTTCAAGATTGTAAACTTATCATGAGATTTTAAATCAACAATTTGAGTTTCAAGTTGATTGTCAAGAACTAGTAGCTCCACATTAGAAAATTCGGTTGGATAAAATTGAGCAAGAGGGATAAACTTTTCTTTATCAAAAGCTGCAAAAAAATCACAAGGATTTAAAAAAGTTACACAAAGAAACAACTCCATATTATTGAGCTATTGAAGTTACACATCATTTACTATGTAAAACAACTCAACTTGATAATGTTATAAATTTGTCATTGTTTGAGCATTACGTATATCATCTATATTTAGGATGACAATATATATATATATTTACAAAATAAAGAAACATTGTTGTGCAAAGATTCTCATCCATCATCTCTCATCATTTGTAGTCATTGTTTCGCTACTCTTACAAATGCCATTGCATTCACAATATGTTGATCTTGCCTTTGTAATGCCAAGGACAATTCATTTGTAATCTCTAAGATACTTTTCATCAAAAGCAAATTAAAAGCAAAGTTAAAAGATTGAGTCGAATCTAATAAGGTAAAAGCTTTACCTCTTTGCTTCAAGCTATTCCTATCTCTATAACAATTTCAAGCACATCAATAATGGAACTAAAAGGATCAAATTTATTAGAGACCCATATCGTGTATCCTCAGCTCATTAAAAACTTGTTTCATGATTTAAACCCCTTCCCATAGAAATTTCATTGATTCATAATACCTCAACAACTTTATCAAGTTACTTTTCTCGAAGAATATCTTTTCGTTTACAAAAAGCCTCAATAATATTCACTACATTTATCACAATGTTAAAAAATAATGCAATTTGAACATGATTTTTTGCAATGGCTATAAGTGTCATTTGAAGGTGATAAGCAAAACAATGAACGTAATAAATAGATGCATTATGTAAAACAATGAACATAATAAATAGATGCATTATCTTTCATGATCAAAGTTTTTAGACCATTGAATTTACCTTACATGTTACTTGCTCCATCATAACCTTGCCCATGAAACCTTAACATACTCAAATTATACTTAAAGAATAATATTTCAATAGCTACTTTAAGTGACAAAGTGGTTGTATCACTAACATGTACTATACCAAGAAAACGTTTAATAACATGCCCTTTAAAATTCACATAACACAAACATTAGCAACTTGTTCTTTGGTTAAAACATCACTAGATTCATCAAGTAAAATGAAAAATAATCCATCTCTAAGGTCTTCTATAATAGTATTGGTAGTTTTAATTGCTACAATAGAAACATGATTTTTTTGAATATAATGCACTATCACTTTTGAATTTCTTGATACATTCTTCAAGATAAACACTAATAATGGTTTCATTATGATTGACAAGAAATCCACAAAACTCAAGAAAATTTCCTTAATTATAAGAATTCTTAGTTTTATCTCTACCATGAAATGCCAAACCTTGACATGAAAGAAAGTGAATGCAATCAAATGTCACAGTTAAGCAAATTCGATAATTTTTTATATTTGATTGGATTGCTTTGCAAAAGCAAATTAAATATATTGCTTTTGATTTAGCAAATCCTAACAACACTTCTAAGCTTTTTTATGAGCATTATTAAGACCTCCATCATGAATATCAAATCTTTTTTTCTTTTTCTAATTTGTGAATCCATCTAAAACAAAACAATTACCACTTGCTTACTCTCTAATATCCAATCTATAAAGATAACAACACAAACAATAAACGGCAACCTTCTCTATATTATATTCTAATCAATTAGCATAATCTTTGAACCATGTAGGAATGCCTTTCCAATTTTTCTTTGGAGAAAATTATTTTCATAAGGTTGACATGGAGTTTTTTGCAAATAAACTCTTCTAACCTTATCTCTATCATTAACGTTATAGTCCAAAATTTTTTTGTAAGCCGAGATCTTAAGAAAGATTATTTAAGTTTAATTCAACACAAACTTTCTATATACAATGTGCCACTAGTATTGATTCTAGATTATTCTTCAAAAATTAGCTTTCTCTTAAGAAGATAGTTCTTCATAAGTAATTAAACTAAATAATTTAGTTTATGTAATTTATAAAGAATAAAAAGAAATATTCAAAATACAATTATGCATAGTAATGAAGATCAACCTACCATACATTTGAAACAAATGATTAGAAATGCAAACCACATATTGTAAACATACTACCATACCATGCAAGAAGTTGGATAGAATTTTTAACTACTTTTATAATCTCAATATAAAAATTAATTTTTGCCAAACTTAAAGTTAATTTAGCCGAATGAGTAATAACTAAAAAAATAAAAAAAAATATAGAACACAAAAAACTCAAACATAATAAAAAATTATACATGCTTATCAATGACTTAATTAGATTATTTCACCAATATAAAAATTCAAA